ATAGTTGACCTCCGTGATGTAGGGCGGCGCTGGTTGCTGACCTAAACACGAGGTGCGGCTGAATTCGTGGGTCGGCTCGTCAGCGACAAACAGCGTTTGTAGGGGAGGAATCCATTACAAATAGCACCAACACTAATACTTTAACATCACGAGAATTAGTAGCTTCTCTTCACTACTGTGGTAGTCCTTGCCCACGAGCAAAGTGATGGTCAACCTACTCTTGCTGACTCCAAACACTCAGACAATTCAGGTGAATACATACAGGTGTACTCGGAGGAATAACACAGCCACCATATAGCCCTACTGAGTAGTGGACTCATCCATAACAATGACGGGGGCTGGCAGTTTGCTCGGCCTGTGATATCATCAGGGTTGACAGTGAACGCGCCAGGTGAACGGCTGGCTAGTTGACAGGGCCCTCCCCAGAGGAGGTGGTTATTCCTGACGCTCGTGGTTCACGAATTTACCTGAGCTTACTACACTTGAACCATCTCCCAAACTAGTGTGGAGGTCGCCCCAATCTAAGGCTCTGCCGAGAGGAACCGTGGGGTGGAGGAGTTTCAGATGCTAGATCAGTTTGTTGACATGAACGTCAACGTTTCAAAAGGACGCTAAGGGAGTAAGAATACTTCACTTAAAGCACATCAGTTACGTTACTGTATCACTTGCATATTCATACTATTAACTAAGTCAAAATCACTTAATGTGGCGAGGCATAACACGGAGCCGGACATTACTTGTGGGTGGAGGAGTTTCAGATGCTGGACTGACTCGAGAGCGTCAGTGGCCCGCACATCTCCTTTGCTCAGCTCCGAGTTCCATCACCTGGCAATCCATGCCTCAATGTGTACTACGTTACTGTACACCCTTGACGTTTGAAGCTAAGACTACGAACCTATTTCCATTTCCTAAGATTCCCTTTTTCAATCTATGCTCTGACTGAGCTGCTCGAAGACATGAATTAAATTGATTTGCTGTTCAGGATGGCAGTCCTGGTAGGCGGAGTCACAAGTAGCATCCGATTAAGATCTGCTAGATTTTCAAAGATACCTGGTCTGATAGTTCCTTCAGGTTAATTAATTACTTTCGTAATTAACATCCTTACAACATTGGGTAGCGAACATCAGATTCTCTGATGTTCATATGTGAAAGAGGGGTGACTTCAGCCCTCGGTCAACAATCACTGGCATCCTAGGGCCGACGTCAATGATACCTCAATTTACTATCGACTTTACCGACTTATATTGATAATACCATACAACAGTAAATACAACTGAAGCTTCCGGATATCAGTCACAACGGATCTGAATACTTCACATCGTAATCAGACATCTCCATAGTTGACGCGAAAGCAAGGGTGTTCTTGATTCTACCAACCAAATGCATGTAAACACCCTAAAATGCAGTTCTAGTATACTTGAGTTTTTCCGGTAATGTGACATAGAAAACGGAGGACTTAGATCTCCTGAAGTGGTTTGAGAACGAATGTTTCAACTGGGAGACTCAAAAGGTTTACAGGTTATGTGGGCGTGGACCGTAATATGAATTATTAGGTTTTAACAGACTAGCCATGTCATTATGACCATGACAGTAACACTGTAATAACATTAACAATGAGACGTTGGTTCAAGTACGATGTTTGGGTCAGTCTGTTCAATAAAGTACAAACCCAGGCGCAAAAGCCAAGGGCTCGGCCGACTTGAGTTCGACATAAGCTCGGGTAACCTCCTTTGACCTTTCCACTGGCCTGTGTTGTCAGTTGACCTTGCCTACCAACTGGGTGATGAACTCTATGGTATATACGCGTTGTTGAGGCTGGCTGGCTGAATTTAAAAGCCATGTATTTTTGCCTTTTTAATCGTGTATTGATTTAGCTGTCAGTGATATTGGCAACCTTTAAAGTAATCTGGTTTGTTCATGGATTAACTTCATGTCTTCGTGCTACTAGTGGTAAGCATATGTAAATATAGTTATACTTCCTTTATTTAAGTTTCTTTTACTCCAATCATCAAGTATTCAACCATACATTATAAAGGTAGCTGGAGTTGTTCTCGGATACAAATTTAAGAACCATATATTGTACTCCTTTAAATACCTTTCACTTTTTGTTTGTTACGAGCTCTACCCCTTTGACACGTAACAGTATTGAAAAATGTAGACGCCATAGCAATCACCGAAAATTAGATATCTGGCGAGCAAGAACTTTTATCAGAGTACCATATTGAAGGGTACAACCTTTTTTCACAAGGGCAGGGAAGGAAGGAAGGGGCAGAGGTTGCACTTCGTCAGGGATACATTAAAATGGATGTATTAATAAAACAATAAAAGGGTGAAATAGGAATTGAGTATGTATGGGTAGAAATTGTAGAAGGAAGAGAAAAACTCATTATGGGAGTGATTTACAGGCCATGCAAGTCTAGGGAAAGAAGCAGCTCAGTCCATATGGCAGGAAATGAGAAGGGCAGCAAGAAACAACAACCTGTGCATTATGGGGGATTTCAACTTCAGAAATATTGACTGGCACAACATTTTAGGTGACTATGACTCTGAAGACTTCCTAGACGCAGTACAGGACTATTTTCTAAAACAACTAATAACAGAACCTACTAGAGGTGACAATATATTAGACCTAGTATTAACAAATGAATAAATTATCAGAGATATCACAATAGGGGAAGAACTAGGGAACAGTGATCACAAAGAAATTAGGTTTACAATCTCTAAATTGGGAAAAAGAAAATTATGACAATATGGTCAGAGTCCCCGACTTTCGATCAGCGGATTATGAGGGGTTAAGACGGTACCTAGGTGAGGCCACCTGGGAACAGTCAGGTCATTGTCCGGTAGGAATGGGTGAGGTCACCAGCGACACAACAGTTGATGACGACTATAATTAAATTCACTAGTATACTACAAAAGCAAAGGAACAAAATATATCATTCAGAAAAATTAGGTCAAATAAGAATGAGCCAAGGTGGATGACCAAAAAACTTAAACATGACATAGGAATAAAGAAAGGAATTTATAAGAAATTAAAGGGGGGAGGAGCATCTCAGAGATAGGTATAAGGAACTATCTACGAATGTTAAGAAAAATATACGGAAGGTAAAGAGGGACTACGAAATCAGGATAGCAAGAGAATCCAAGGCAAACCCTAAAGAATTTTTCTAGTTATATAGGACAAAGGTCAAGGGCAAAGTGGGGCCTTTAAAGTCAGAGAGAGGAGAGAAGTGATCGATGATAGTGAGGAAATTAGCAAAGCATTAAACAGCGACTTCTTATCAGTTTTTACAGATAGATTAGAGAAACTAAACTTGCATTCAAAAAGAAAGACGGGGAGATATGATAGAAGTATCTAAGTGGGTGAAAGGAATCAATACAGGAGATATAGATAAAGTTCTTATAATATCCGAGCAGGATAGGACTCAGTAGCGCAGCCTGACGGTTGGATAAGTAAGTTTAGGTTTAGGGAGGGAGATAGGAAGAAACTGGTTCGCCGTACATAGGTGGTGGACGAGTGAACAAGCTTAGCAACTTTGTAGTAAGTGCTGATGCTGGGAAAGTTTTAAAAGGAGGCTAGATGATTCCTGAACAATAGAGAGTGGTTGTAGTTCTCGACAGGAGCTTTTGAACTAGGAATATTAAAACACTACCGCCTTCCAGGCTGTTACCAAAGTCACCCCGGTGGTTGATTACCGAGGGTCGCTTTGAGGAAGCTCTGAAGATCATGACCAAGATCGCTAAGATCAATCGGAAACCGCTACCTTCTGACCCCGTCGTCCTCGCTGCTATGGAGAACATCGTTAAGCAGGTGAGACCAAGAACCATAGTGTTCGAGGAAACTAAACCCTGATGGGCTTGAGTGTCCACTTGTCGCTCATTTTCTGTCTATTTATATTTCCATCTTTTGGAATTATTCCTCAGAGGTGTCGTTTCCTCATCCACTTCTTATGTTTTATATTAGTCAATACTTTTGAACCTTTAGCTCTACTGGCTTCCTGTCTTATATTATCTTCTTCTGGTAAACTACACCTACAAGTGAACGTTTCCTCACCATCTGTTGCTATCCCGTGTTTTAGTCAGTATCTGCATCTATCAGTCTCAACATTATTTGTATTGCCGTCATCCTCAGAAATTTTTGCTGTATTTCCAGGGATCTCGGGAGAAGGAGGAAGACCAGACCGACAGAGAGGCCACCATCATGTCTCGCTTCCTGGCAGTCATAAAGCAGGTCGTCATCTTGCTGACTATACGCCAGCTTAGACTGAGAACCTTGGTCGTGTTCTTCTGTTGGTTCGCTGCCTCCATGGTCTACTATGGTATCGCCCTCAATGCTACAAACCTCAGGTATGTCGTCTTCCTAGATTGTCATGATCTATTCTGTAATGCCATAGGCCAATACACTAGCTGGATGGAAATGTAGAATCTTATTTATGCCAGTGATAAAGCGTTGGTTCATTTGCTATTATCATTCCAACACATACCGTTCGACAATAGGATTTTAGTACCTCCTGTCTTTTCTTGTGGTTCCAGCAATGACTCTCGTGTTGATATCTGTGGTTCCAATATTGATCTTTTCCAGTGCTATTTTTCCCTCGCAGCACTGACACTTTGTACATTTGGTCCATCTCTTACAAAAATGTCAATTCTATCATTACTGTTGTGATTGATTTGTTTCTGCTGGAATAGAGTGAATATTTTTTGCCCTATTTATTTGAGCACTCCTTTATTTTTCAGCATAAAGGTTAAACTCTGTAACTGTCGTTCCAATACTATATATTTACTCGTCTTCCAGTACAAAAGACAACTTATCCTCTTGTCGTTTCAAAAATGACTTCTGGTTTGGTTACACTATCATGGACACGAACTTTTGCCTTTATCACTCAGACCTCTCGCTCATTCTCTACCAATAGTGGTGTTCCACAGAGTTCTGTTCTTTCACCTACTCTCATCCTTCTTTTTATCATTGATTTACTTCACAGTACGACTAACTCTATCCATTCTTATGCTGATGACTCTACTACTCACTTTTCTTCACATTTTCCCCATCCCATTAATTCTCAAATTAGATCTGTTTCTAGAGCTGAAATCATTTCATCTATCAATACGGATCTGTGCAGCATCTCCGAATGGGGAGGTAAAAACTTGGTTCAATTCAATAGTAATATAACTCAGTATTTACCAAACACACTTTCCAAATTAGATGATCTCCTACCAATCACATTTCAGGACGCAATCATTCTGCCAAGTTTTAAAATGGATATGCTAGGTCTCACCATTTCCTCTGATATGTCATGGAAGCCACACATCCGCAACATTGCTAAAGCTACCGCCCTAAAGCTGGGAATGCTGTAAAGATGCCATAGCTACTTCACTCCTGAGCAGTTGCTTCACGATTATAAGGGAATCATTCATTCGTCCTAACTTAGAGTACTGCTCTCATATCTGGGGTGGCGCTTCTTCTGTTCAACTGTTAGACAGCGTGGAATCAAAGGTATTTAGTCTTATTGACTCCCCTTCTTTAGTTGATAATCTTTCTTCTATTTCTCTTCGCCGCAATGTTGCTTCACTCTCTCTCTCTTTTACAGGTACTTAAACGGGCAATGTTCAGTGGATTTGGCATCCTGTGTACTGCTCGACTGGGGTCACTACGCCTAAGGGGATAACTTAACTATAATCTTAATTTTAAAGGTTGCTGCTACCAGACCACCTCTGGGCAGTATGTAGCCTGTTAGGTAGCGTGTAGAGTGGACTAGGCATTGGATTAAGTTTTTCATTGACCAGATCGATAAGGGGAAAGAAGGGTGAAACCATAACATGTCTTAACTAATTTATTGCTTATAAAACATACTGTAAAAAAATACAAGTGAGTTGGCCTTCCTCAGAAGAACAACGATGATTTTGGTTACCCTTCTTACACTATCACTCAACACGTCAGATTGTACCTGTATTACGGTGATACATTCCATTTCCTATATGACAACATACACGATAATACTGCTACCAGCAAATTACAACATGGGTTCACTACCCAACATGGGATACTTCTTCCAGAATTACCCCAAACCCATACAACAACACTGTGGACATATAACTTCAAGGCATGTCCCAGGGTATCACACTGGCGCCTGTAACACTGATGATCACTGTGGTGGTCTGTTAAAGCCAAACACGTGGCGAGTCTGGGGTCTAGCTCAACGAGGTAGAGTGGAGCTGAATAATCATGCTGAATTAGCGCCATCGCTCCTATATTGACCACTGCTGAAGATCCACCGGTTCCGAGCGACCAGTGGGGTTTCAATTAAGCCCACCCTCGATCTGGGGACAGACGGGAGATGACGTGACGGGGGACAAGGGACTGGGAAGCATGATGACAACACAATCACAACAAATCTCTTGCCTGGAAACGACAGCGACATTTACGTTATATTACTTCTTACACTGGGTGAATGACAATTCAACTGTTAAAGCATGAACACTGATGAACACTGATAATTCACTACATTGACTAAATCAAACTGAATGGCTAGAGAACACAGAACATACTTGGGGACAGATGGGAGATGACGTGACGGGGGACGTCTCTCTTCCCGGTCCCGTGGTATATATACCCCTGAGTTGCCAGCCATCTCTACTCACGCAATGACAGAAATAACAAACAAACCAACTGTTACTCATTCAAGGATGACCCTCAGTTGGCAAAGGTCTGGCGAATTACTAAAGTTGATTATACAGACTAACCCAAGATTGAGTTTGCCAGTAGAGAGTGGAATAAACGTATTGACAACTGTGTTCGGCACGGGACTTACTGGAGGTCCTGTGTAAAACGAATGGGAAAAACACGTCTCTCCTTAATGCTATGAATACATACAATTAATATTATATAACCCGTAGCTGGGCACAATACAACACATGATTCCGTAACATTCATTAGGCGAGTTAGTCTTTATCAATGACCCCTGTTTTCTGAGATCCTACAAGTGCGGTGGATTTGAATGTTATGTAGTGTAATATGAATTAAAGGGGGTTATTAGGAATGACAATGATGTGCGCAGTACACTGTGTACTGCCGGCAAGGCCGTAGGCTAGTAAAACTCGTGTTGCCCTCGGTCCCCACAGTTTCTCTGTGGTTGTCAGTCACACTAGAATAACCCGTTATAGTGCACCCTTCTTTCCTTACACAGCCAAACTGTGCAATGCTCTGCCCTATTCTTTGTTTCCATATTAATACAATCTGTCTCATTTTCAAAAGCTGGTTTTCAGGCACCTTTGTGGTGTAGATTAATATAAGCTTTTTCTTTTCTATTTTTAATTTCGTTTTACTTTACAGATTACAGATTGCCCACGAGGAAGCTAGTTTATTGGGCACCCCCTTGCATCCTGTGCAAGGTGAAGCGCAGAAGCGTTTACAGTGCCCAACTGGGAAGCATGCGGAGTTCATGCTTGCCTTTATGACTCATGCATTAAGGGCGTAAAAGGCCTGAAGGGTCATGGGTTTTGTCAGCAAGTTACATAAAGTGACAATGATGAGTGTGTGGGGGGGAAATTCCCGGTACAATTCATCTGTTTATGGCAGTGTGGCAGGTCCCTAATAATGTCAAGTGCCAGGCCTGTCACTAGGAGGAGGGATATCTGGTCAGGGAGGGAAGAGGTGCCATCCCTGTAGGGGGAGGTCATAGGGCAAATGAGGATGTGGTGAAAGAGAGTGTGAGAGTCTGTTGGCCACAAAGTTTACAAACAGTGCGGCCAGGCTCAGGGTTGCCAATGTGCTAGGCGTGGCGAAGTACAGTGGGGGTGGAGGTGATATGGTGTGGTGGGATAGGTACAGTAGAGGTGGAGGGAGGCACATAGGCATTGACAACATTGAGGGACACACCTTTTAGTGTTATTGTGATGGTGTGTTCGTCGACATGTCGGTGGGGTACAGGTAGCCGGGGGTGGTGTCCTCAGGTCCAGGTAGCCTTGGTGGAGACAGCTCAGACACAGGAGCGGGAGAGGCTTGTGGTGGGTGGTGGACAGGTTGAGGCACCAAGTGTTGTGAGGACGAGGCAGGACTTCGTTCGGGGGCAGCAGGACACACCAGGGCAGGCCCGGTAGGCGCTACACCAGTAGTGAAGGCCACCGGCGGTGGAGTAGGCCGTGAGCAGGGGGGGGCTCACAGGGGGACCAACAGCTTGTGTCAAACCAGCAGAGAGGAGTGACTGGGTGGCAACAGAGGGCAGGAGTAGGTGGGAGATGGTGGTACAGAGTGTAGCGAAGAGTTGTTCAATACGGTTGGTAAATTCTTGGAAGAGGGATATGATCTGTGTCATGTCACTGGCGGGGGGTTGTGGGGGGGCACCGGTGGGAGCACAAGGCCTGACAGCCTCAGAGTAGAGACGGGGAGGAGGCCCAGTAGTAGTTGAGTTAGGAGACGGCCGGGACTGCTGTGTTGTAGCCAGTTGAGGCCAGGCAGAGGCAGGTGTTGTTGAAGAAGGCGTTGCTGGAGACACAGGGTACACAGGGGGGTGTGGCCCGGAAGACTGTGGAAGGGGGGCGTTGTGGTAGACTTGGCCTTCGGGGAGGCTTTTCCTCTGGTACAGACGGGCGATTGGGGCATTGCCGTGAGTCAGCATTGTGCCGGTCGCCACAGTTACAACATCTGGGATTAATTACATAGCTCACCCCACCACTATTAAGGTGGTCTTTGATTTTCTGGGCACAGGCGGCGGAGTTGTGGTTACGTGAACAGAAGCGACATCTCGGCCGATCACGACGACAGCAGGCAGTGAAGTTGTGACCCCAATGAGAACAGACAACACAAAATGCAGGCTCAGGATGATAGGCTTCTGCTTGCAGTGGGGGTAAGAGTGGGTGGGCATTCACAGTGGTTGGGCACTCCCTTCCCTTCCACTTGACAATGACAGCGGGTTGTGGAAGTCTCCCCAGGTAGTGGCGACGTATACTCAGTATACTAGAGTTAAAGTCACGCGCATCTTCTGTAGTGCATAAGGAAGGCATTTCACTGGGATATGGCATTCATTCAGCGTCTCTAC